TACAAATTGAATTATAATTTTATTCAAAAAAATTATTAGATTATAATTCTAAAAAAATATCATATAAATTTATTTTTTATGCCATAATATTTTTTTGTGCCCATGAACACAGAGTAAACTAATTTAGGGGATAAAAACTTAATTTAGAATTCTATTTTCAATCAAATTTTGATAGAATTTTAGGATAATATTGTTAATTTAGAGTTTTATTTTCGATAAAGTACCAATATTTCATACGTAAAAATTGAATTATAATTTTATTCAAAAAATAATTATATTATAACTCTCATAAATTATTATATAAATTTATCTTTTGTATTATAATATTTTTTTGGATCAAAATAATTAGTTCAAAATGTACCACATCCATTATTTATAATATATTCTAATCAATTTAAAAAATATACTTCACAATCAAATAACTAATATATAAAGTTAAACTTTTAGTCTGGTCACAAGACAGCGACACTTGGTGTTCCAACTTTCGCAAAGTGTCGCACCACGTTGGATAGATTTAAATATGATAAAAAAATTAGTTTAGAATTCTATTTGGATAGAATTTTAGCATAAAATTGTTAGTTTAGAGTTTAATTTTAGCATAAAAATTGTTAGTTTAGAGTTTAATTTTTGATAAAATACTAATATTTCATATGTACAAATTGAATTATAACTTTATTCTCAAAGATTATTAAATTATAATTCTAAAAAATTATCATATAAATTTATTTTTTATATCATATTATTCTTTGGAGTGAAGGAAGTAGTTTAAAGCGTAAAACATCTATTTATAATATATTATATGTACTAATCAGTTAAACTAATAAACATCACAATCTAATAGAATTATACTAGATGAAGCCCGTGCGATGCACGATTTGTTTGAATTTTTTAAAATAATTTTTTTATACATATATTTATGTGCTAAAATTTGTTATATGTTTAGATAAAATTCCTAATATCAAAAGATAATACTTTATATTTAATTAATTTAAATTGGAAAATCTTATTCGCCAATTTTTGCTTACGTGGCATTTGAATTATTTAATTATAAAAGATTTTAATAATCTCCTATTTAATTGGTTACTACTAAAATTTATAATCCTACATGGCACACTAAGAAAATTAGATCCTATGTGGCTCTCTAAAAACTCGGGAAAAAACTCCCCTTTATATATATATATTAGATTACTATGTAGACCTGTCAATTAGGGTTAGGTCATGAGTCATCTCACTTTGGGTCACTTCAAGTTACGAGTCAAGAAATGTTCAATCCTTGCCCAAAGTTTTCGGTTCGGGTCAACCCCAACGGGCTTTGAACAACTATTTTATTTAATTTATTTTTTGCTCATTTTTTTAATGTATTAAATTGGACATTTTCACCAACATTATTATTTGTTATTACATGCCTATTAGATAGCAAATATTCACAAAAGCACATCAATTCCTAACTAATTTTGTATCAATGATATATTTTAAAATTTGACATATAGATTAAAAATTTATCTTTAAATTTAATAAACAACCCGGGCATTGCACGAGCACAAAACTAGTTCTATATATTCTAGAATCAAATATATTATCTATTAATAATAATTGATATTGCTATCATAATTATACTAAGATAAATCCAATCAATAAGTAACTAAGTAAGAATGATATAAATTTTGTTTCACGGTAAGAACATCCTAAATAAATTGATCACCACCGCCAACATTTGGTGTGAATGGACAATTATACCCTTACTTCTTCATCGCCCTCTTATCCTCCCGGTGACCCACAACCCCTTCCAACCGGCGATGACCACCACTACCTTGATCGACGACCCACCACACCCCCTCTATGGTGACCCACCATATTCCCTCGCCGGCGGGAGGGTGGTTTTTTTTTTTTAATTTAAGGTGGTGATTTACTCAACTGAGTTGAAATGATCTGAACTGAATTGTTTATGAGAGAAGAAAATCGGGAACTGAACTGAACTGAACTGAACTGATTGGAGTTGAAGTGAACTGAACTGAAATTAAGCTGAAGAGAACATGCCCTTAGAAACAGATTATCTTGTATTTCAGCATGTGAATTACAAAGGGGGCATATATAATGGATATTAATATTACGATAAATAAAATTATTTCTAGTTTGAACTTGGAAGAGCATTATGTAGTAGTTGCCAAATAAATATCTTTAGTTTTGGAGCAATATCTAGTTCTAAATCCAAGAAAATTCTCATTTTGTAGGAGAATTAAAATTATGAACTAACCACTTTACCGTAAACTCTGCATCACTAGAAAAACCCCAACAAGGTTCATCTAAAAGATCATTAACTGACAAAGGAATACTTTAAATTAATGGACTGAACTATGTGAGGAGGTACCACTAAAGAAAGAGCAGCAATATCCCATGAACGATCTTCAGTAATAAATTGATCAACCACAAGGTCTAGATTTTGAATATGAGAAATATTTAAATCTAATAAAGTAATCAAATTCGTAGATTAACACCAATTTTGTAGCCAAAAAGAATATTTGAACTTGATCCAACTCAGCCCTTTAAGAAGAAGAGGGCAAACTTGTAATTTTTTTTTTTCAAATCCAATAGTCCTTAGCGTGGGGTTTACATTAAAAAAAAGTGTTATGTTTTAAATATTTAGTCCGAATAGTACGAACCGGCCCACAAATTATTATAATCTGAGATTATTTTCCAACCTAACTTAGCAAGGAGAGCAGTGTTGAATGCGTGCGTTTTCGTTAAACCTTAAATTTTTGTCCCAAGAAATCATGGGGAGACCATTCTTATCCGGAGATTGTTTCCAAAAAACATTACGGTCAATTTGATCCAATTGTTAGTGATTGTTTTAGGAAGACGCGCAGTAGTCATAGCATAAAAAGGAAGAGCTTCCAAATTAATTTGAATTAAAACAGTTTTACATGCCTTTGAAACCGAGTTCGAGAACCAGTTATTCAGTTTCTTCTCTACTTTTGCTAAAAGGTGATGGAAATCCAATTTAGTAAAAGACGAGGAGTTAAATAGAATACCTAAATAATAGCCAAAGAATGAATTAGGAGCCGTATTGAAATAACTTGCTAAATTTAATTTTCTAAAATTATTTACTAGCTTTGAAAAGAATATAGGGAACTTATGAAAATTGATAAGTTGCCCGAACATAGAAGAAAATTCTTTAAGCAAGGTTTAATTCTATTTACTAGGAGTTTAGCTATTGCTTTATAAGTTGTAGTACAAAGACTAATGGGGCATAATTGATATGCCTTATTTGGATTGTCAATTTTTTAAATTAGTGTAATAATCGTATGATTAAGTTGTCTTATTAAAATACCATTATGAAAAAAATGTTTTATTACTTTACAAATATCCATTCCAATAATAGTATAGGCCAATAATATTGGAAAATTGTAGGCCCAAAACCGTCCGAACATGGAGCTTTGTATGGAGACATGTCGAAAAAGACATATTGAATATCCATTCCAATAATAAGCCAATAATACATGTGAGTTGTATGAGCAGATGTTTTTGTATTGCTTGAGAGGTTTACAGAGTGATTGGATAGTTACAAATGATATTGGGATTCTCTCTATTTATAGGCCTCTTATATACAATAGAACTTTCCAACCTCCTTAAATGGAGGAATCTAGTCTGTAACCTCCTATAAGCTTCTATACTATTTTCCATTACAAAGCCTTGTATGTGTAGTATTTACGAAACAATCTACAAAAGCCTAGCACTTTAGATATGTACACGAGGTGCTTAGATAGCTCTAGAACCTTCTGGACAATTACCGAATTATGCTCCACATTTTAGAAGTTTTCAAGCCTCATATGGAAATTTCTACTTCACCATGACATTCCTTGACCCGTAAAATAGTGGACCCCCCATTTTTAGGTCCATTTGGACTTCATTATAGTTAGGCCCCCAATGCCCCCTTATTGTGTTTACTATCAATAATGTGGTGTTTAGTAGTAGTAGAAGTCTTATGAAAAATAAAGTTGTATGAGGGGAAGAGCTTCACTAGCAGCTCAAGGGCATACCTTGTTGCCTACCACGAAATCGACCAGACGAAGCTAATAAGAGTGTGGAGCATAAGTCATGACATCGGGCCTTACGTCTTGTTGAATTATGTTAGGGCTCGATGTATTGAAACTTTGGTGAGGGGGCCCATGGCCTCGATCTGCTTGGAAAGAGGCGCCATGCTCCTTTGCCTAGCTCCTAGAACAAATGGTGCTATGGTCCTTTACCATGGTTAATTGCTTGGGAGAGCAATGTCATGGTCCCTTGATTGGTTTTTGTTGTTATATCTCGTATTTTAATTGTGTATAATAATAATAAATATGAGTTTTGTAATGTTATAAGTATATGTAGTTTTGATGGAGAGCTTAAATGAAAAATGCTTGTTTATGTGTTGTGAAATAATACTCGTTCTTTTACCTATTTGGTGTTCCCTTATTGTCATTACACATTTTAGTATTTTATCATATATTGTTTGACACTTTAACGTTGATCAATTCAACTTCTTATTAAAGTAATCCTTTTTTCAATAAATAGATGAGCTAATTTTTCAAAATTTAAGTATCTACGACACAACTTGTTGCATTGATACAGTAACAAATAGCTAAACATAACTATGTCACATAGGAATTCATCAAAATTTAAATAAAAAACGCTTAATTGTATAGTTTTTAGATGTCACACATCTTTCCCAAGGATATTGAATTGTTAGAATATATGTAAATATATTGGGTTGACTTAGTATATAATTAGTTTGGTAATTATATATATCCTAGCCTTATTTGTAGCTAGTTAGTTTACTTAGATAAACTCATGTATTTGTGTATTTATACCCATCCGTAATCAATGAGAAGATCAACGATCAATCTCTTTCATGGTATCAGCTAGGGTTCCAATCCTCTGACCCTCTCCACGCAATCAGCCCATCTTCTCTTTTCTCTACTTTTTTTTCTTTTGCTTCTTCCGCTGCTAATCCACAAATAACCATGACTGACAATACCTCCAAGTATCACCCCGCCTTAACCATCACCAATGTTAAGAGCCTAATTCCGATTACTTTGGATGCCAATCATGGTATGTACCACTCTTGGGCCGCTCTCTTTAAAGTGTTGTGTAGGGTTCATGACCTTACCCATTACATTATCCCTCCCACGGAGGCCCCAGAACTCACCGCCTATCAAGCCTCAAAATCGGCAGACCTTGCCTTTTGGAAGCGGCTTGATGCCGCGGTTCTCAACTGGATTTATAGCTCTATATCTCCAGACCTTCTTAGTGTTATTCTTCTCAAGGATGATACCGCTCACGGTGCATAGGCTCGCATCGAGTCCATGTTCCAAGACAACAAAGCATCCCGGGCTTCTCATCTCGAACAAGAGCTTGCTGATCTTGATTTCGAGAATTTCTCATCCATTGACGGATATTGTAATCACATCAAATCCCTTGCCGATCGTCTTGCGGATGCCGATGCTCCGATTCCCGATACCCGTCTCATTCTGAAAATGACAGCAGGTCTTCCGGAAGCCTATGCCGGTATGGTAGACTTCATTCAAAATCAAGAGCCTTTACCTTCCTTTGAAAGCTGTCGTTCTTGCTTGAAATTGGCCGAGCGGACCATTAAAAACCGCTTGGCTAAGGAGGGTGGTCCTTCAAGCCGACCACCGACTGCTCTTGTCTCCTCCACCGGTGGCAACCAGCAACCGGATTCCATGGCTCAACCATATGCCTCCAGGTCTGTGACAAAGAATGCAAAGCAAAATAAAAAAACGAATTCAAAGAATTCGAGTAAGCCCCGCAATTCAGGAGGCTCGGCCCAGCAGCAATCCGGTAATGGGCAGCCCTGGCAGTATTCACAAGGCCCATACCCATGGCCTGGTTGGGCCCCTTGGATGGCTCAGTGGACCAATCCACCTTGTCCTTACCCAGCTAGGTCGTGGACTCCCAGGCCTGCCTCTTCTCAAACTACCAGCTCTCGGCCAGGTGGGCCAGGTATTTTGGGTCAACATCCGCAAGCTTACAGCGCCATAAATCCTTCCCCTACAGATATCAAGGCGGCTATTCATGTGCTCGCTAATTTAGGTAAACCGGATAACAATTATTATATGGACACCGGTGCCACGGCTCATATGACGGACATTGTTGTTGGTAGTGGTGATTTAATTCCGATTATTGGTCATGGTAGTACTAATTTACCTTCTCCATACCCCCCATTTACCCTAAACAATGTTTTGCATGCTCCCAAATTAATAAAGAACCTTATCTCTGTTCGTAAGTTCACAACTGATAACCAAGTATCCATTGCCTTTGATCCTTATGGGTTTTCTGTTCTTGACTTACAGACGGGGGCCACTCTAATGAGATGTGACAGTACCGGTGACCTCTATCCAATTTTTCCATCCAATCAAGCCAACTCTAAAGTCAATCATTCAAATTTCATTGCTCTTTCCTCGGATCTTTGGCATAGGCGCCTAGGCCATCCTGGAGATGCCGTCTTCACTCTTTAAGTAGTCAAAAATTTATTGATTGTAATAAGGCTTGTAGTTCTTTTTGCTCATCATGTCCTCTTGGCAAATTATCTAAATTTCCTTTTCGTGATTCTGTGTCGCATACTACTTTTCTTTTTGATATTATTCACAGTGATTTGTGGACTTCTCCTATTCCTAGTTCTAATGGCCATTGTTATTATCTATTGTTGCTTGATGATCACAGTAAATTCTTATGGACATATCCTATTGCTAAAAAATCTCAGGTCAAACACCTTTTTCAATCGTTTCATAAGGTCGTCCACACTCAATTTGAACGTAACATTAAGACCTTCCAATGTGATAATGGCACTGAATATGTTAATGGTAATCTTAAAGAATTCTCTAATAACCATGGCATGCTATATCGTCTTTCTTGTCCTCACACCTCACCTCAAAATGGAAAAGCTGAACGCCACATAAAATCAATTAATAACATTATTCAGACCCTTCTTGCTCATGCTTCCTTGCCCCACTCTTTTTGGCACCATGCTTTAGAAATGGCTACCTACCTTCTAAACATTACTCCAACCAAAATTTTAGGATATAAATCTCCAACCCAGATTTTATACCAACGTGATCCAATTTACTCTGAATTACGTGTCTTTGGTTGCTTATGTTTCCCTCTCTTTCCTTCCACTTCTATCAATAAACTTCAAGAGCGGTCTACCCCTTGCGTTTATCTTGGTCCCGCACCAAGTCACCGAGGTTCGAAATGTTATGACCTTTCAAATGGCAAAATTATTATGTGTAGACATGTGAAATTTAACGAACAAGAATTCCCTTTTTCTAAAATTCACAATCTGACATATCCTAATTATGATTTTTTGGATGCTCATCCAATCAATTACCCACCCCATTTGCTTAGCCCACGTCCCCCTCTAGTCCATCCCACCTCACCTCAAGTGAGCACTGGCGCATCTTCTCCAGCGTCTGGGCCTGCCTCTCCAGGTCCATTTTCCCCCTCCAAAATTGCGGACCCAGGTACTGTCACGGCCTAACCCGTGAACACACCCCATCCCATGCCTCAGCATACTCCGCACCTTTCCCCACTTCCTCATCAAAGCCCACCCATCTATTCCTCACGAATTGATGGTGATGACAACCAACCCACACCTCACCTCATACACCACCACTTAGACCAGCAGGTCCTCACCATATGACCACCCATGCTAAAGATGGCATCATTAAGCCTAACCCAAAGTATTTCTCCAACCTAAACACCATGACTACTACTTCCATATCTCCTATCCCAAAGGACCCGATTAGTTCTATTCGTGACCCCAATTGGAAAAATGCAATGTTAGACGAATATAATGCTCTTCTTGATAATCATACATGGGATTTGGTTCCTAGGCCTCCTAATGTGAATGTTATTCGCTCTATGTGGATATTTCGTCATAAACGAAATTCTGATGGTTCTTTTGAGCGGTATAAGGCTCGTCTTGTAGGTGATGGCAAGACTCAGCAGCAGGGTGTTGACTGTGATGAGACTTTTAGTCCGATTGTTAAACCGGCTACTATTCGCACTGTTCTTAGCATTGCTATTTCTCACTCTTGGCCGATCCATCAGTTGGATGTCAAGAATGCTTTTCTGCATGGTTATCTCAATGAAACGGTTTATATGCATCAACCCATGGGTTTTTATGATAAAAGTCACCCAGATCATGTGTGTCTCCTACGTAAATCTCTCTATGGTCTCAAACAGGCTTCCCGAGCCTGGTATCAGCGGTTTGCAGATTTTGTTACTTCTATTGGATTTATTAACAGTAAATCTGATAATTCTTTATTTATCTACAGACAGGGATCTGATACTGCTTATATTCTGTTATATGTTGATGATATCATTCTTACAGCATCCTCTGACCGTCTCCGAATACACTTCATGGATCTTATGAGCTCTGAATTTGCAATGAAGGATTTGGGTCCTTTAAGTTTTTTCTTAGGCATCGCCGTCACTCGGACCGATGAGGGCATGTTCTTGTCTCAAAAACAGTATGCCTCTTTTATCATTGACAAAGTCGGTATGTCTAACTGTGCTCCTTGTCCTACCCCGGTTGACACTAAGTCAAAGCTTAGTGATTCTCATGATGCCCCATATGAGGATCCTACTAAGTACAGGAGTCTTGAAGGTGCTCTTCAGTATCTGACTTTCACCAGACCTGACATTTCTTATGCTGTTCAGCAGGTCTGTCTTCACATGCATGATCCACGCAATGCACATATGGGTGCCTTGAAGCGCATATTGCGCTATTTACAGGGTACTTTGTCTTTTGGTTTGCATCTGTATAAGTCCTCCATCGATAGACTTGTTTCTTATACTGATGCTGATTGGGGAGGATGCCCCGACACCAGGCGATCTACTTCAGGTTATTGTGGTTTTTTGGGAGATAATTTGATCTCCTGGTCTTCTAAATGGCAGCCTACTTTATCTAAATCTAGTGCAGAAGCCGAGTACCGTGGGGTCGCTAATGTAGTATCTGATTCTTGTTGGATATGGAATCTATTGCTTGAGCTCTATTTGCCCATTCGGAAAGCAACTATTGTTTATTGTGACAATGTGAGTGCCATCTACCTCTCTGGGAATCCCGTGCAACATCAACGCACGAAACATATTGAGATGGATATTCATTTTGTTCGTGAGAAAGTCGCTAAAGGCGAGGTACGCGTCTTACATGTTCCCTCCCGATACCAGATTGCAGACATATTTACGGAGGGGCTTCCCCGAGTTTTGTTGGATGACTTCCGTACCAGTCTTAGCGCTCGAGAGTCTCCCGCTCCGACTGCGGGGGAGTGTTAGAATATATGTAAATATATTCGGTTGACTTAGTATATAATTAGTTTGGTAATTTTATATATCCTAGCCTTATTTGTAGCTAGTTAGCTTCCTTAGATAAACTTGATGTGTCTATTTTATATAGTATTTTACCCCTGTCCCTTAGTCGTAATTAGTAGTGTTTTTGGCTCTTTAGAGCTACTTTTATTACTAATTGGTATTTTCTAGTGTTTTCGTAGATTTGGTTGACTTTTCCAGGGATTTATACTTTTGGAGTATTTTCCCGAGATATTTTGGAGCAATCACGAACATTGGAGAAGCACAACCATATTTTATAGCCCAGGGCCGGTTAGAGCCATCGAACCGGTGATTAAGGGCTCGGTATAGGTGATACCGGGGCATTTGGACTGAGTATTCAAGACCAAAAGAGGAAACCCAGGTTGACCCGAAGAATTGGAGCCCAATCGTAGTCCAAATAGTGGCCCAAGTGAGACGCCCGGCCAAAGAGGCTGGCGCAAGGAGGCGCGCCCGGCCGGGCGGGAGAAGCTAAGGTTGGCGCCCGGTGACGCGTCCGGCCGGGCGCGAGATTAGTATTAGGAAGTAAAAAGGCGCGCTCAATCGGGCGGTGCCTCGCCCGATCGGGCGCGTGTATTTTTAGAAGACGATTAGCGTCGTTTTAATTTGTTTTAGTTTAGGATTTGTACGGAGTATAAATACTCCTCCGTAATACGATTTTAGCTCTTCTCTCTCTTCTTCTTTTTACTCTTTATTTACTCTCTTAATTGTTTTCTTAGATTTTCTCTCTCGAAACCTTTGTTCTTAATCTACTCTTAATTATAGATTTGTTTGGTAATGATTTCTCTTCTCTTAATCTTAGTTGTTTATTTTATTCCTTTCATCATGACTTGTTTTATTGCTTTGATTAGTTTAGTTTTTACTATGTGTGAGTAGTTCTATTTCTAGGGTTTGTGGGGATCCATAAATAATATGAAGGGGTAATTTATTGTTGTTAATTATCAATGCTAGATTAATTTCCTATTGATTGATTTAATGCTCTGTGACTAGATTAGGCCTGATCTTTTATGCATGAGTTTGACAATATTGATTCGAGATTCGACATATGAGAATTGATGTTTAGGTCTAGTTTCAATAGGCAGATTAATTTATAAATGGTTAAGTCGAGATTTGACAGATGAGATTTAATACCAATAGATTAATTCTGTGATTGTAATACGTAGCGAAAGCCCTTTACAATCTGGTTAATTGACGCATTGATGATTGGCTATTATTGGTTCTTGATATTGCATGATAATTTCTTATTGAATTGTTTTAACGCTTTACAATTATGGCTTGTAAAAGTATAGCAATATTGAATTGATGAATCGAGCAGATGTTAATTTGATATTAAAGGCTATTTTCAATAGGAACTTAGATCTAATAAATTGCGAGAGCCTGTTAGATCTATGTTGATTAATAAATTGCGAGAGCCTGTTAATCATGTTATTTATATGCAATGTCAATGATTGATTATTATGTTTTACCCTGGAGTATTATTTATTGGTGAACCTATGCCCTAGATCCTTTTATATATTATTTTCTCCCTATTCTCAATCTCCATAGTTTAGTTTATTATTCAATCACAAATATTGGTTACATCATAATCTAGACTATATTAGTTAATTCGGAATAGAATGATCCGTTTCTCTGTGGATTCGACCCTACTTCCCTATCTACCTTAGTTAGTGGACTTAGGAATTATTTTTGATTAGGGGATGCGACTTTACCCTGTCAAAATTCTGGCGGATTCTGGTGATAATGATAATAATCACCGCGATCCTCCAACTGGTTCTAGCGATTCAGAGGCATCATTAGACGCAGAATCAGAGATGGCGGTACCAAAGAAGCTTAGTGATTACTCACAACCAAAGCTTACAGATTTCCCACATCTCACCCCCACTCCGGCTCTTGATGGGGTTCAATTCGAAATTAAACCTTAGTTTATAACGATGATAGAGAGGAAGAAATTTAGTGGAGCCAAGGGTGAAGACCCAAATCTTCAAATTGCCAACTATTGTCAATATTGTAATACCATCAGGCAAGCCGGGGTCACTCAAGACCAAATCAGGGAGATTCTCTTTCCCTTCTCTTTAACTGGAAAAGCTAAATTGTGGTTTAATGGCTTAAATAGAACTCCACTTGGTATAAC